CAACACCCAGCTAATTTTATGTATTTCTAGTAGAGACAGCATTTCACCGTGTTAGCTATGAATAGATGGTCTCCATCTCCTGATCCGGTCCTGTGATCTCGGTCTCGGTCTCGTGATCTGCCCCCCTTGGCCTCCCAAAGTGCTGGGATTACAGGCGTGAGCCACCGCGTCACAACCACTCAGGAGAGTAGCTATTATTATTCCCACTTTACAAAGAAAGAAATGGATCAGATAGGTTAAGTAAGATTGCCTGGGGATCAGCCCTGGCTGGAGGGAAGGGTTCTGACCGAGACTCCACCCAGACACCCCCACTGCCACCCCAACTGCTTAGGGGAGGCTGTGAGGAAATCCAAGGCCACTCCTCCCAGGAACAGTTCACTCAGCTTTCACAGCCCTGAGGCTCTGTGATGGGGGCCCCAGCATTGCTGGAGGAATATCCTGGGTAGCTAAAGTACAGAAACATGACAGTGAGGTGGACGGAGGGATGTGTGCAAAATAAGGTCCTAAGAACCCCTCCAGTGTGCAGATTGCTCTGGCCCCAAAGCACTTCTATAAACGCTAGTCAGAGGCTAGGTGTGGTGGCTCACGACTGTAATCCTAACACTCTGATAAGTGGATAAATGTGGGAGGCAGGCCGATTACCTGAGCTCAGGAGTTTGAGACCAGCCTGGGCAACATGGTGAAACCCTATCTCTACAAAAAATACAAAAATTAGCTGCATGGGTGGCATGCACCTGTAGTCCCAGCTACTTTGGGAGGCTGAGGCAGGAGGACCACTTGAACCCAGGAGGTCAAGGTTACAGTAAGCTGAGATCATGCCACTGCACTCCAGCCTGGGTGACAAAGTGAGACCCTGTCTCAAAAAAAAAAAAAAAAAAATCCACTAGTTAGGATAGGTACTATTGCCCCATTTTTACTGATGTGGTAGCTGAGGGCTGAGATTTCCCTCAGGGCCCACAGCTAGTAAATGGCAGACCACCTTCTTACAAGTGATTCTGCTCCAGCATTTAAACCCTTCTTGCCTCCTCCAAGCCTGTGTGACTATAAATGTTAATTGGTAGAGGAGAGGTACAAGCAGGGTCACTGTGGAAAGTTCAAGGCCAAGAGCTAGGGTCAAACTCCCACAGTTCCCTCCACCCACAGTGGCCTTTGTGACAAGAAAGGGGCGGGGTGGGGACTGTGAGATCTGGAGGCTACCAAAGTTTATAGAGCCTGGACTGTCCTTTTTTTTTAATGGTTGAGGCACAACCCATCCCTGAGTCACTCCAATGAATTGAGGCATCCCCAGGCATGGAACCCCCTAAAACCCAAAGAAAGGTGGTCCCTAATCACTGGATCAGGCATCCCAAGGAGAGGGCCCTCCAAGGATGGGGCTGGGGAAGTGTGTGCCACCACAGACTACCTGGGCTCCACATATTTTCCACCTTGACCCTCAGGCCCTCCCTGAAAGGGCAGACTTGTGCTGAGCTCTAAGTGGTTTCTGTGGTTTGGGGGTGGGGAGGGAGGGAAAGAGATGTTGGGGACTGCTCCCCAGTTCCAAGCCACCACCGCCACCTCCCATCCCTTCCAGAGTGTTTGCCCCCAGCATGGAGATTTCCCCAATAAGGCGACTGGGCACGTGGGGATGAAATGATTCTCTGATCCCTATCAGCCCCTTCCTTACATAAGATTGTATTTGAAGAGGAAATGACCACTGCCCTGCTTTCAACGGACCGATTCCTCCAGACAAGGGACTGTAATTGCAGCAAGAGGGAGAAAGTTTAGGCAAGAGGGGGAACTGCCCAAAAGGATAAGCAAGGGAGCTTCTTGCCCTGGGGAGAAAAAAAACTCAAGCTATCCATGCTTAAGGCAGGGGAGAGGTACAGAATGCCTAGGAAGCATGTGACACTCTTAGGCCGAGAGGCCAGGATTCTGTCTTCTCAGTCTCCAGTCACTTCCTCCCCACCCTACACAGCAGCACAAAGCAGCACAACCGGGGAGGCAGCTGTGCCTGCAGTGTCTAGGGATGCCCTGTGTCCATCTGCAAGCATTCTACGTGACCTCCACTCTGTGCTTGTGATTGGTGGGTAGTAGGAGAGGTAGTCAGGAAGGGCCCCTGGAGACCCAGAGTCAAGAGGAAGAGAGGCCTAAAAAGGAGAAAAGATAGAGAGGGAAGAGCTGGAGAAGAGCCACAGACAGGCAGGAGCCGGCAAGGAGAGACCGAGAGATGGGGGATAACTGAGGAGTTCTGGGCAGGAGGGGAGCAGAATTGCATCTCCCCTACACTCCCCTGCATTCCCACCCCCCGACATGTTGCTGGCTCCTCCTGTCAGCTGGAGGGTGCTGGGTGTGGGGGAGTGCTGGAGTGGGGGTGCCACGTGGGGGGTTGTTGGGTGGGAGGTGCTGGGTGGGGAGATGTTGCATAGGGAGTGCTGGGTGGGGAGTGCTGGGTGGGGGTGCTGGGTGGGGTTGTTGGGTGGGGAGTGCTGGGTGGGGGGTGCTGGGTGGGGGGTGCTGGGTGGGGGTGCTGAATTAGGGAGTGCTGGAGTTGGGGGGTGCTGGGTGGGGTTGTTGGGTGGGGGGTGCTGGGTGGGGGGTGCTGGGTGGGGGGTGCTGGATGGGGAGTGCTGGGTGGGGGGTGCTGGGTGGGGTTGTTGGGTGGGGAAGTGCTGGGTGGGGTGCTGGGTGGGGGGTGCTGGATGGGGAGTGCTGGGTGGGGGTGCTGGGTGGGGGTGCTGGGTGGGGAGTGCTGGGTGGGGGGTGCTGGGTGGGGGGTGCTGGGTGGGGAGTGCTGCGTGGGGGATTACTGCGTGGGAGTGCTGGGTGGTGGTGCTGGGTGGGAGTGCTGGGTGGGGGAGTGCTGGGTGGGGGTGCTGGGTGGGGAGTGCTGGGTGAGGTGCTGGGTGGGGTGCTGGGTGGGGGGTGCTGGGTGGGGGTGCTGGGTGGGGGGTGCTAGGTGGGAGGCCTGCATTGGGGGGATACTGCATTGGGGAGTGCTGGGTGGTGGTGCTGGGTGGGGGTGCTGGGTGGGGGGTGCTGGGTGGGGGTGCTGGGTGGGGAGTGCTGGGTGGGGGTGCTGGGTGGGGGTGCTGGGTGGGGGTGCCCAGGTGGGGGTGCTGGGTGGGGGTGCTAGGTGGGAGTGCTGGGTGGGGGATACTGTGTGGGAGTGCTGGGTGGTGGTGCTGGGTGGGGGCTGGGTGGGGGGTGCTGGGTGGGGAGTGCTGGGTCGGGGAGTGCTGGATGGGGAGTGCTGGGTGGGGGTGCTGGGTGGGGGGTGCTGGGTGGGGGGTGCTGGGTGGGGAGTGCTGGGTGGGGGAGGTACTAGGTGGGAGTGCTGGTGGGGATACTGGGTGGGAGTGCTGGGTGGTGGTGCTGGGTGGGGAGTGCTGGGTTGGGGGGGTGCTGGGTGGGGGCTGCTACAAGCCTTGACCTCTCCTCCCAAACCTGCCCAGAGGCAGGCCCCCAGACCAACATCCTGTTCTGTGCAGAGACTCATCACATGGATGTGTGCGCCCACATTTACCAAAGAACTGGGGATAATCAGAGCCTCAGAGGGCATAGACCAACATCCTGTTCTGTGCAGAGACTCATCACATGGATGTGTGCGCCCACATTTACCAAAAGAACACAGGGATAATCAGAGCCTCAGAGGCATAGACACACACCCTCAGACTCCCAGTGCAGAAGGTCCCCAAAACTTCCCCTCCTCTTTATCACTACTCATCCACTGTCAGTGACCCTAGCAGTTGAAAAGTCCTTCTCCACTTCTACCTTTATCCCTCAATCTGCAGCCATAGGGAGACTCTGGAAGCTACCTAAGAACAGAGGTGCTGATGGTAGCAGAGTGTGAAGCTCCAGGGTTGGGCAGGAGTGGAGGATGGCGAGAAGACAAGGCAGAAAAGGGAAGGGACAGCTGCCTGCCCTCTCCATGCCAGGTGCCACGTGCACCAGATGGGGGGGAGTGGGCGAGTCACGAGGCTGTGGCATGGCTGACTCCTGCTCTGCTGTTTACCAGCTGGGAACGAGAGCAGGAGGAGGTGCCAGGGAGCCTCTTGCTGCAGCCTGGCCCCTGGCCAGTTGCCTGTTGGGTAACCAGGAGAGCCAGGCCCAGCTAATCAAACTCTGGGCCCAGGCTGTGCAGGAGAAAAGCAGCACCAGGATCCCCAGAAGCCTCGTCCTCTTGGCCCCCCTCAGAGCCTTCACTGCGGGCCTCAATGTGGGCCACTCAGTCTGGGAGCCTTTCCTTCTCCCAATGAGTCCAGTGCAGGATCTCTCCTCTCCTCTTCCCCACCAGGGCTTCTCTGCCTCCAGGCACTCCTCCAGGCCTGTCCCTTGTCCCAACAGTTGAGGAGCACGTGGAAGCATCAGGGGGTCAGGGAGTCCTGGCAAGAGCAGCAAGAGTTACAGGCAGGGGCCAAGCAGGCAGCGGCCTCAGGGAACTGAACAGTCACTGGGAGGAGTCTGACTGCATCTTAGAGAAGAGACAGAGTCCCCCAAACCTGACCCCTTCATCTCCCCTGTGCCTGTCACCTGTCTTAGGTAGAAATCACAGGATTCTGAAGTCACAAAGACTTGGATCCAAATCATAGCTCACCCATTTATTGTTCTTGTGTGAGCCCTTGGGCAAAATCACTAATATCTCTGAGCATCCCTCCACTCACTGATCAATCTGGAATAATAATGTTTCCCTGTGGTGGGTGTTGTGAATATTTACACAAAGTAAAAGCATGGATTTACATAAAGGACCCTGCAAAGGACCCAGCACACAGTAAGTGATCAATAAATGCTACTTCCCTTCCTTTCTCCTGTCCTGTTTCTCAAGGCTCCATGCGCTGGTCCACTGGTCTCTCCTCATGTCCCCTCCTGGTGCCAGGACACTCTGCCAGCCACTCCTTTTCCCTGCCTGCTGGAGGGCAGGTGCTCCCGCCCTCCACCCCCCGCCCTCCTCCCTCCCCTGGGCCCTGCTCCCTGCCCTCCTGGGCAGCCAGGGCAGCCAGGACGGCACCAAGGGAGCTGCCCCATGGACAGGGCCCCACAGAGACAGCACCGAGCCTCACAGGGTAAGAGGCCCATGGCCCTGCCTGCAGTTGGAAGAGACTGCCGGAGGTTCAGAGGAGGGGAGAAATGGGAAGAGAATGGGCAAGAAGTGAGGAGGGGAGGGAGGGACAAGAGTGCAGAGGAGGAAGGCCTGGGTTGGGGGGCAGTGCAGGAGGGTGAAACCGAAGGAGAAACTGGAGGAGGGGCTGGGAAGATGCCAGAGGAGAAGAAATCGGAAAAGGAGAGAAACAGGAAAGAAAGGGAGAAGCGGGAGAAGGAAGGAACAGGTTGGAGGGTAGATGGGAAGGGAAGAGCCAAGTCAGGGGAGCCAGATCTAGACCTAGCAAGGGGTCAGAATGTGGACAGGCCCTCCCAGGTGTTGGCCTGCCCCAGGAGGCACGGGGACACTGCCTCCTTGATCTGGCCAGGACCCCAGGCAGCAGTGGCTGGGAGGCTGGCTGCTCCACTTTCTGTTCATTCACCAGTGGAGAAACCTGTCCTTTAAGGAGTGACAGACTTGGGGAGTGTGGCAGGGGGAACCACACCCTGTCAGCTGCCCATGACCACATAGCCTGGCCCTTTCCTCCCACTCACCCAGGGGTGTGGGATTTCATCTCTGCAGAGAATGTGGGGCACTGGGCCATCAGCAGGCAGGGACAGAATGTCAGGCCGTCATTGGCCCCACCCATGGTCCAAGTCAGGAACCCCCTCAGAGCAGGATCCCAGGGCCACAGGCTTGGTCAGCTGTGAGCATGGAGGAGGAAAGTTTGAGGGCCAGAGCCACCAATCTCCAGGGCCACCTGGTGAGGAAGAACTGGCTGCCTGAGTGAGCAAGGGGAGCGCCGCCACCATGGGACTGCTGTGAGGTGTAAGGCTAGAGGCCAGGAGCCCGTGCCACGTCAGGGAGGAAGCTGGGTGGGGCCAGGCAGGAGCAAGGGGGAGGTGGATGGGGCTGGGTGGGGCCTCGCCACCTTGGGGCAGTCTTTTCTCCTCCCTTACCCCAGCAGAGCCCAGAGCCCAGGCCATCAGGCCACTGGCCTCCACACAGCCCAGTGACCACGGCCTGCCAGTGGGGAGCATCTCCTGGGCAGAAGGGCATTGTGTGTGTGTGTGTGTGTGTGTGTGTGTGTGTGTGTGTGTGTGTCAGGTGTCGAGACTGAACAGCAGAAGGAAAAAAATAACAGAACGGAGTCAGAGGTTAGGGAAGCTACAGGGGGTGTAGGGCATGGTTGAAGGGCTTTCTGAGACAAAAGACTGGCCCTGTGCTCTGTGATGAGCTGCTATGTGGATGCAGGAAATGGACCAAGGTCTGGCAGGGGAATCCCCTTTCCAGGGGCTCCCTGGCTAGGTGTTTCATAGATGCTAACTGCATGAATGGGTGACCCCCGCAATCATGCTCCAGCAAAGGCCCTCCCCTCAATGGCTGCTCCTCCTGGAGGTCCACGCATCCCTGTGACACCCATCAACCCACTCATGCTCCCGACTGCCTAATCTCCACCCAGACCCGGCCACGCAGCAGCAGCAGAAAAGGGATGCCTTCCTTTTCAGGCTGGTAGGCCAGGGAAGCCTGGCCCGTGGAAGCCAGAGAGGGTCTGTGTTTGCAGCTCTCCCTTCCTCTTCCTCCAAACATCCTCTCCCCCTCCTCCCAAACCTCACATCTCTAAGCCCTGGTGTTTTCAGGCATAGATAAGCAACCAAGAGACTTCAGTCCCACAGAAATTTAGCTGTGGCTGTAGGATATTTCTTGTGCACCTCCAGTGAACCAGGTACTATGGAGGGCTCTGGAAATTAAAGGTGAATAAGACTGACACGGTCCCTGCATTCACAGGGCTTTACAATTTGGCAGGGAAGACCCATTTCGTAGACAACGACACAATTACAGCAGTTAGGTGACAGGTGACATGGTGAGTGCCAGGAAATAAAATGCAAGGAGCTAAGTGTGTCAGCACGAGGGCAGGGGAAGGGGGTGTGTGTGACTTCTCCAAGGAAGAGACATAATCAGAGACCTGAGGGAGAAAGAGAAGTTGGCTAGATTAAGGGGTACAGGAGGGATAGGCATTCTAGGCAAAGGAGTAGCCTGGGGGAGCCCCAGAGGCAGTGAGGGGCCTGACAGTTCTGGGTACCTGGAAGAGGGCCAGCATGGCCCAAGAGCAGAGGAGGAGATAGGGGCACTGCAGGGGGTGGCCTGTCTGCCCTTCAGAGGCCAGGCTCTGAGGGAAGGAGTGCGGCAGTGGGATCCTAGGAGTGGGGGAAGTGTCTCAACTCCTCATGGTCTTCAACCTTTGACGTCAACCCCCTCTCTTGTCTTTACAGAGCTGCTGGCTGCAAAGAAGACCCACACCTGTGAGTAGGTGGTCCAGGGCAAGAAAATGGCTGGGGCACAATGAGATGGAGAAGAATTCAGCAAGTAATCTGGTGGGGGAACTGAGGTTGGACAGAGGTGGAGGAGTCAGGAAGAAATGGCAGGCAACAGGAAAGCAAGGGGAGGTGCGAGGAAACCACAGATCAGGGCAATGGGAGGAGATGAGGAAGAAGCCTAAGCATGAAAGGAAACACTGTAAAGAAACCAGGAAAGAACAAAGGAAAAGGGAACCGCCTTGTGAAAAAGGGTGAGGAGAGATGCTGGACAGAGGCAGGGAGATGGGAGCGGGTGGGGGCGGACTGCCAGGCCGGAGAAGGAAGGAGATGGAGGTGGGGCAGTGTGCAGATGCGAGGTGGCCTCAGGAACTCAGCGCTGCTGCCATGGGAGGAAGGGAGCCTGCACCAGGCTTTTTGTCATTGTTGTTGTTTGTTTGTTGGTTTGTTGGTTTGTTTGTTTGAGACGGAGTCTCACGCTGTCACCTGGGCTGGAGTGCAATGGCACAATCTCGGCTCACTGCAACCTCCACCTCCCAGGTTCAAGCGATTCTCCTGCCTCAGCCTCTCGAGTAGCTGGGACCACAGGCACCCGCCACCACGCCTGGCTAATTTTTGTATTTTTAGTGGAGACGGGGTTTCACCATGTTGGTCAGGCTGGTCTCAAACTCCTGACCTTGTGATCCACCCCCCTTGGCCTCCCAAAGTGCTGAGATTACAGGCATGAGCCACCTTGCCCAGCCTGCACCAGGCTTTGTGGTGCTGAGCCAGGTTTGGTGTTCATCTCTGTGGTTAACACATTCTGAGGTGTGAACAAGCCTGAAGCCAGCCTGTGCAGGACTAGAGAGCAGGAGAGTTTTATCTCTGTAGGAAACAGAATGGACAGGGGCACTCTGTGTCCTGGGGCCCTGAAAGCCAGACTACAGCAGGTAGGAAGGGCACTAGAGCTCAGAGAGGACTTCCCAGTGGATGCTAGTGAATAAGCATCCTCTCTAGGAACCACTCAGCACATCAGCTCTCCTCTCCTAGTTTGTGGCAAAGGCTAGTCCCCCAGAGAATGCACCTAGTCCCAAAGCTATGCCCATTAGGGCCACGCATGCCCTTCTGTAAGCATAGGTCCCTGAATCGACGAGAATCCCTCCAGGGTAGGAGTAGCCACACCATTTCTCCGTGGCTGTCCATGAGACAAGTAGAGACGTGTCAGAGAGCAAAGCATTGCCCTCCTCCCTGAGCTGGGCAGCCCAGGGCTGAGGGCCATCCAGGATGCTACCTCCTCCTGGGTGGGGGTTGCTTTGCTCAGCATAATCCTGATCAGTGTCTCGCCTGCCCCTAGCCACAGGGCCCCACGGAAATGCTGAGCAGGGCCCCAGGAGGAAAGCGGGTCAGGGAGTGACGCGGGTGAACTGGGGGAGGTGGGTCACGGACCATATGTGGGTGGGGGGAGTAGGGGGACTTTCGGAGCAGTAGGAACTGGGAGAGGTCAACCCCTATTCCTTCCTTTAACCCCTGACCTCAGAAACCTCAGCCAGGACCATACCTCCTTATCCCTTTCCCAACCCACCGGTCCTCATGTCCCCACCCCAAGAGTCCCAAGGATCCAGGCTGACAGCCTCTCCCCGACTCCACAGCCCAGCTCCTGAAGCCCCAGGAAGGCCCAGGAAGGCAAGGAAAGGCCTGTGCCTGGATGAGAGGGTCTAGAGTCCCAGCAAGATTAGATACCTCTCAGGAGTTTGCCCCACAGAATCCAGGAGACATTAAGGCCCCCCCCAGGCCGAGACTCTGAAAATTGGCTCCTGAATTGAGACAACCCCAAGATGGGGGTCCAAGATGGGGAACCTGGGGGAACTCCCCAGACCAAGAGGGAGCCTGAATACTGAGGGGCCCTGAAGAGGGACTCTCAAAGCCAGCGTACAACACAGAGCACATAAGAGGCTGAGAAGGCCTCTGGAATTGTTTGGCCTCTGAGAAGGATCTCCCTCCCCCAGGCCAAAAAACACTCCAGAGAGACTCACATGCCAAGGGACCTCCCAGACTGAGACACCCTCAAAAGCAGACTTGAACCAGAGAAACCCTCCCATCCTTCAAGTGGGATCCAAAGCCAACCCGCCTGGGCTTGAATCCTGACTCTGCCACTAACTAGCTGTGTAACCTTGGACAGGTTACTTAACCTCTGTGTATCTCACTTTCCTCCTCGAAGTGAGTATAATGGTAGCTACTTCATAAAGTTTTTTTTATTTTTTCTTTTTGAGACAGAGTCTCACTCAGTTGCCCAGGCTGTAGTGCAGTGGCATTATCTCAGCTCACTGCAACCTCCGCCTCCCGGGTTCAAGCGATTCTCCTGCCTCAGCCTCCTGAGGACCTGGGACAAAGGCGCTCACCACCACGCCTGGCTAATTTTTGTATTTTTAGTAGAGATGGGGTTTCACCATGTTGGCCAGGCTGGTCTCAAACTCCTGACCTCAGGTGATCCACCTGCCTCAGCCTCCCAAAGTGCTGGGATTACAGGCGTAAACCACCACCCCCGGCCCACATAAAGTATTTTGTGAGGATTAGATATTCCACATAAAACATTGAGAACCATTTCTGACACATAATGGTAAGCACTATTATGATTATGAGCATGATGATGGTGATGATGATCATTATCTACACTCCAATTTCAGCAGTTTGGCTCCTAAGGAAATTTCTGATTTCCTTCTGCGGATTGTGGGTATTTGCCTGGTGATTATCACTGCTTCTATCGTTTCTACGTATTCCCTAGCACAAGATATACGTGGTATCTGCAGGGAGGAGCGTGGGCATGGGGGTGGTAGGACAGCCCCCCAGGCTGCACCACACTGGGCATGGCAGTTGGCAGTCCACAGAGTGTCAGGTGGCACATGCCACCACCCCAGGCAGACATCCTGTGACTTACCTCTGAAAACATCCCTGTCCCTGAAGTCACCTGGCAAAGAGGGTCAGGCTCGGAAGGTCCTCAGGGGGAGGAGGAGTAGAAACCTGGCCTCAGGCTCGTGTGAGCTCCATTCCGGCTCCCCAACCAGAACTACCCTGGCGGGTGGAAACAGCTTTTACCGCGTGTGGCTGTCGCATGTGGTTTTGGAATTTTCCAACGCCCCCTACGATTGGCTGCCCCTCCCCTCACACCCTGCCCCAGGCCCAGATTGGCCACGTGGGGCGCCTGTCATCCTACTCACTGCACCCCTTGGGGGTGGGGTGGGGGGTTGTCACTTGGCCACCTGTGTGGTGCGGAGCTTAAACCCCCCAGCCCAGAAGCACTGGGGGAGAGTTAGGTGCAGAGCTTCAGGCTGAGGCACTGCTGAGAGGGCCTCGCCCCGCCTCTGCTGCCAGCTGCACCCCACTCTTGGACCACCCCCTGCTGAGAAGGACAGGGAGCCAAGGCCGGCAGAGCCAAGGCTCAGTCATGAGAAGTAAGTGAATGGGGCCACCTGGGGGCGGGGGAGCCTGGACCCTGTCGTCACCCCTCTGGAAAGGAGGATGTCTTGGGAGCAGTGCGAGCAAAGCTGAGTGCTCCTCCCTGGCAGGGTACGTCCTAGTCAAGGTCAAGATCTGTTGGGAGATGGGTGGAGCAGCTGGGGAGTCCTGCTGGCCAGGCGGCTCCCTGACAGCAGCGATGGTAAGAGGACTGTTGAGGATTTCCTGAGTTCCAAAAAGAACCTCCAACAGTATCTGAGGTATCCAGGCCCCCCATTTTACAAAAAGACTGAGAGCCAAGGAGGCTGCATAGTTCGCCCAAGGTTACACAGCTGGTATCTGATGGAGGCTGGTAATTACTAGGGGCCCTGAACGCACTCTCCTGGCTCCTGTTACAGTGTTTCCCTCTGTGCCTCCAGCCTGCTTGTGAGGAAAAGGAGGCCAGAGCCGTTGCTGTGCTCTGAAGCAACAGGACGGCAAGAGTCAACTGAGGTCGGCAGGCAGCAGGGCTCAGAAACCCTGCATCCAGGCCTTAAAGCCATCAGGCTTTCTGCCCAATCCAGGGACATGAGGACTAGGTGGAATCCAGTCAGGGTGCACCCGGGCACATGCCTTTGTGTGTGTGTGTGTGTGTGTGTGTGTGTGTGTGCGCGCGCGCGGTTCTCCAGGGTCAGTCCTGGAGTTCCACCCATTTGACGGGGGAAGCAAGGCCGTGGAGATGGGATTGGAAAGACCTCAGGCTCACCCTTTTCCTGGCTTGGAGCCCTGGGCCAACAGTTGGTGGGCAGATGTCTGGGGTTCCTGTGCCTTCCAGCAGAGCAAGGGTGGGCAACCTCAGGAAGTCCCCTGTACTCGTTGTGAAGGGAAGCCAAGGTGAAGGAGGAAAAGGGAAGCTCCATGCCCCTATGGCTGAGGCCTGAGGCAGCCCCAGCTCCAACCTGGGGTCTTCCCACAAGCCACAGAAGGGAGGCCGAATTGAGTCCTGGAAAGACCCCTGGACTGACAGTGTAAGACCAGGCGCTTGTGCCACCTGTCACTGGCTGGCCATATAGACTTCGACAAGCCAAGTCCCTGGGCCCTGGTCTACCATCCGCAAAACAAGGGAGCTAAATTTTAAGATAAAACAACAAAACCAACTATGGAGAGTCTCGCAGTTCCAAAGGCCCAGGGCCAAGAGAGAGCCTAGTGCCCTGAGACAGGCATCCCCAAGGGTGATGAAGGAGACTCAGCTCTCCCAGAAGTTAGAAGGAAGGGAAACCAAGGAAAGAAAAGAGTTCCACTTCTGTGGTGGGGACTGAGGCCACAGTGCAGGCATAGGAGCTGGAGTGGATAAGGAGGGCTGGGGAGAAGAGCCAACAGCTTCCACACAGAGGAAAGGGCCCCTTGGAACTTCAGTTTCCCTTCTAGCTTCTCTCTATTAGCAGCAAACGCTGGCAAACTGGTCTTCCCAGAGAGGGCCCCTAATGAGCAAATCAACCCTGGGATGAAATGACCAGGTGTGCTTCCAGCCCAGCAGCAGAGCAGGAGTCCCCAGCAGGGGCTGAGGGAGACACCTG